TCTGTTTTTCTCCCAGGTGAGGCGGATGTCCTCAGGACCTGTAGGCACATGGACCATCTCCATCCATGTCCTGAATCTCAAGACTCAGAGGAACTGCCTGATGGGGGAAGGGGTCTCCCCAGATGAAGGGTTCTGCCTCAGCTGGAGCACAATTGACTTAGAGCAGTTTCCGATTTAGTTCCTGGACTTTGTCTGGAACTCACCCCAATAAAGGGTAGGAAAGGGCTAAAGATTCTTGGGACCATCTCTTCCTCCTGGCTTCCTGCCCTTGGACCTCATGTCTTCAGTCAAAGCACACCATGCACACACACAATCCCAGTCTATATAATTGGTTTCTTTCTACTCAAGTGTTTTAAACTCTAGCCACAAATTATTCCATCTATCTACTAGTGTATCTGAATATGTACCTAAACATATATGTATACACATTTATCTCTAAGTCCATCAACTGGGGATTATAGATACAGGCTTTCCTCAATGTCTGCAGAGGACTGGCTTTAAGACACAATATTTAAGTCATATATATATATATATATATATATAGTATATATAATCTACGTATATCTACTGTATACTTTAAATCATCTCTGGATTACCTAGAAACCCTAATTTAACACTAATGCTATAAAATAGCCGATATACTGCATTGCTTAAGGAGAGTTATAAGAAAAATGTCTGAACACATTTAGTACCAACTCAATTTTTCTATTTTTATGAATATTTCTGATCCCTGGTTGACTGATTCATGGGTGTGGAAATTGCAAGTGTTCTTTTCTTTGGAACTGCTTAATGTCTTCATGATATCATGTTTGATTAGCTATTCCCCAGCTGATGCGCAGTTAGCTTCTTAAAGCTAATTTTAAGAAACTTCTTAAAGTAAAAGAGACTCTGGCAGTATCAAAAACTCAAAGAATGACTATAACATCAAACATGAATGTCATAACTAAAAGAAACTTAATCTTGCATTCTATCCACCAGCTCCCACAATGGTGAGGACAGGGGCATCTGGAAGGTTCTCATGACCAAACCATCAGATAAAGAATCATGGTAGATCAAGTTAGAGATGCACACTTGTGTGTGGGCAGGAATGGCCTGAACATATTGCAAATTCCACTGTAATGAGGATGATCTTAAACTTAGGTCATACTGGTCAAATAATGGGCATCATCACTAGGCATGAAAAACTTTTTAAAGTACTTACATTGCATTCCTTCTTTTTAAGCTATCCAACTCCTTTTGAATGCAGAGATTGAAGAGAGAGGGAAATGGGTTAAAACCAATCTGCATGATAGGTGTCAGGGGGACAAGCCTGTAATGTTAGCTATTCAGGAGGCTGAGATCTGAGGATCTGGTTCAAAGCCAGCCCAGGCAGGAAAGTCTGTGAGACTCATACCTCCAATTAACAAAAAGCCAGAAATGGAGCTGTAGTTTAAGTGGTAAAGCACTAGCCTTGGGCAAAAAGTCTCATGGACAGTGCCCAGGTCCTGAGTTCAAGTTCTAGGACTGGCACAAACCAAAAACCATTCTGTCCCCATCTGTGCTGTGCCACTGGTGGGTACCAGCAGTGGCTACAAATCCAAATCTATGACAACATAGCTGTTCATGTCCTGTATACTAAGCTCATGAGGTTTCATTTTCCCATCTCCCATCCAAGGCCCTGCTGGAAAGACCACTTGTTTCTTCCCTGGGCCACTCCAGGGCACTCCATCATCCAATCTTGCCAGGATGGCCTGGCTGGGGTGCTGCCCACAGCCTTCTCATCTGGTTGGTTTTGTGGGGGGGGGGTGGCAGGTAGTACTGTTACAGAGTAGCCTCCTACGCGGACCTCTGTTGGCTCTCTTGGTATCAAGTGTATGGCCCTGAAAGGAAGTCCACTGTCTTCTAGCTGGGAATGAGGATGTCATCCCCAAGGTCAGTCCTACTAGGTCCCATAGTCCTTACATGCTCAAAGCCACTTCTGGGAATTTTCTGCTCTCAGCTATGAGAAAGCTCTTAAAGCTTCAGCAAGCTTGGGGTTCTCATCTATCAATGCTCACCCTGACCATTTCACTCAGGCCTGCTCTGAGAAGCTCAGGACAGGGCAGTTCTAGGAGCCTCATTTTCTAGAAATCTGCTTATGGTAGCCCCAGACCTCATGTGATTCCCCAGCAACCATGTGATGTTTTAACTTGTTCTGGGTTCTGGGCAATATGAGCTGCTGGCTCAGACTTCACTTGATTTTGTTCTTCTCAGACTAGGACTGAGAGATACAAGGACAGAACCAAACCCCATCCCTATGCAGCTGCATTTGCTACCTCGACTGGAGCCCAAGTCCAAGTGTGTTATTCCTCTTTACGACCTATTATCCACCTTACTGCAGTAAGGTGGATCTGAAGTTCACCTCCTCAAGACATCCCAAAACACATCCACACAGTCAGGACTGCACCTACAACTGGAGACAACTGAGGGTTGGATTGGCTCTGACACTGGGCATCCTAATCCATCCCTAAAGGATGTGGGCTTCCATCCAAGAGGGGGCAGCCTGGACAGAAACTGGGAGAGGCCTGATGGCTGGAACCTGTCAACAGCCAGAGGGAATCCTGGAATGGGAAATGTCACAGAGGCCACTCTCCTGGTGTGCCCTCCTTTAAGGCACAAGTGACTAGGTTAGGGCTATCAAGGACTTTGCTGCCCAACCCCCACTTTGCTTCCCACAAAGGTCCCAGAAGGTCTGTGGACAGAGCAAGATAGAGGTCTGAGCAGTCGGGCTCAAAAGGATGCAGCTGCCCATCAATCAGGAGGCCTAGCTACAGAGGAAGGGCTTCTGCTGGGTTCAGCAGGCCTCATAAATGATCCAGGCCCATGCAGCAGCAGCAATGCAGTCATATAGTGGCAAGTCTCATGGTGACCCTCACATACAGAACCTGCCCCAGGACATTGTGTGGCAAGAGTGCTTTATAGATGTGACTAGTGAAGGATCTGTATAGACCTTGATCTGGATGGGCCTGGGTGTATATGTAGGGATTGTGCATGTATGGAGGGTCGTGGGTGTTTTATGTGTTGTCTAGTTGGTCCATGGAATGCATAAGGCATGGCTAGGTGTGGTTTGATATACATAATGGGTATACAACATGGGACTGAGGTGTGTGTAGTATGGTATGTGGTATGCATATGGCACGATACACAAATGATGTATGAGTGGGTGATGCACACACGTGGTATGGTGTGTGCACTGTGGTATATGCATGGTAAGAAGCATGTGTGTGCTGTGGTGGCATGCGTGTGGTATGTACTTATGGTATATGGTGTGTTAGATGTGTATGCTGTGCAGTATGGCATGTGATAGGTATATACTGTCAATGTGTAGTGGCATTTGGTGTATTATGTGTAATCTGTAGTGTTGTATTTAGGATGTGTGTGATATGATGTGGTCTGTGTATAGTGTAGTAAGATGTGTTATCTGGTATCTGGGGGTATGTGGTGGGTGTTTAGTGTGGTGTTCAGTGTATGTGTGTCACAAGTGTGCATGTGGTTATTTGTGTGGTGTGTGTAGTATTTGCTGAGCCATCTTGCCTCAGCACATAGTGAAACATAACGAACTCAATCCTACTAGTCAGTGGCAGGATATGTAGAGAGCAGTGGCAGACCTGGACTAATGGTACAGTACCACTGTCAGGTAGCAGGGCAGTCACAGCTGTCGGTCCGATGCTGGTCAGGATGTGCCAGGATGTGCAGGCAGTGAGCTGCTCTGTGGCCAGCCTGGGTGCTGCCTTCAACAATTTGGGCAAAGGCCTGAGGAAGGGCACTACCTTGTTCTGCCCATCCTGCCTGGCACTAAACCACGGGGGGTGGGGGGAGGAGAGGTGGATTAGGGACCGTGGTGAGCCATTTTCAGTGGCCTAGCAGGGATTGACTCTAGTCACAGGTGACCAGTACCCTGGCCATCTCACCAGAACACTGTGGGCTCATGAACTGTTGACCCACCTGCATTGCATGCTATGCTATCCTTTCCTGGCAACTAAGTCACACACAGTACAGGACACTGCCCTCCAGATAGACTCCCACAGGGAAGCAGGGGCTGACCAGACCATCTGACCCCTAATCAGCCCTCACTGGAGGTGAGATGCCCCTGCGATAAAGGTCACCAGCAGAGCCATGGGGGGGTAGGAACTACCCAAAGAAGTGCAAGATTTTGTCTTATTGGAGAAATGGGAGCAACCTTCCAGGTCAAAGTTAGAAAATTGGCATTTGTGCCAAACCTGGTCCAGGATGGTTTCTGTCAGTATCTGCCCATCATTACACGACATCCATTACTGCTTTTACAGCACGGTGCCCAAGCTGAGTAGTTGTGATGGAGACCACTCTGCTGGAGTCACAGTAAGTTCCAAATAGTCAACTCCTGGACCTTTGTGGTTGACCTCTGCATTATCTGAGGAACAGCTTTGTGATGACTGTTTACAGTTCATTTCTGGATAAACTGCTGTGAAAGTAAGCTACAACTTGACCCCAGAAGCACAGCCATGAAGGCGGAAGGAGCTAGAAGATGGAGTAGACATGGAGAGGCCCTCCTCACATGCCACTGTGATTCCAGCGGCAGTCAATGGGGAGACAGTGACAGACAGGGTATGACTCACCTACAGCCTGGCAGAAGAGATGGAAGGTTCCCAGCGCCTGCACCTGCTGTGCCTGGTCACCCAGGAAGGGTGGCAGCAAGGTGACCTGCATGCTGTTGTGAGGCCCTGAGCCCAAGGCTGGCCAGGGGCTTCGGGGAGAAGATGAGTTGGGGCCCAAACAGGACAGGGATGAGGAACCAGGAGGAGGGAAGGGCTTAGGAGATGAGGCTGCGAGACAGAGGACAGAAAAGAAAAGGGCACTAAGGAAGAAGGTAGTCAGGAACAGATCGCATGCTAGGGAATGCAAAATGCAGCAGGAAACAAGACAGGTGGATGAGGAAAAGGAAGTGCCCAGGACTATTACCGCCGGAGCCATCACACAAGTAACTAAGTAACAGCCTGCCCAAATCAATGATAAGGCTTCTCATTTATTTGGGTACTTTCCAAATATATACAATTCAAAGTAGAAAAATAAAAAGAAAGTAAATCTTATCAAAACACACATGTTGCCACCAAAATGACCAGATCACATCATGCTGGGGTGAGGCTGCCACACAGACACACAGAAACCCAGTTTATTGCTCTTTGCCATGGAATAAAAGTCTCCTTCTAATGGGTGCTTACAGACTGGGGATGTGGAGTGTAAAATGGGTGTGAAAATCGTACCGCCTGTTTACATCTTTAGTGACAGTCGTAGAAGTCATCTGGAATGAAATGTTGCTGCATGCCCAAGGACGCCGTGGTCTTGCCCACAGCTGGTAGCCCCATCTACCTGGCCCACTTTTCTTCCAGGAGGACAGCTCTGTGAAACCGAGGAGCAAGGCCACAGGGGACGCCCAAGGACAATGGGTATGAGATTAGACAGGAGGTGTTCAGACAACCAAAATCATCTTTCCAAAGGCTCTGTCCATGTGGACAGGAGATGTTGAGTGGCAGCATTGCCATGAACTTGTAAAATGCTTCTCCTTTACACAGCCCAATTCTATAGCCTTCTGTCACACAAAACCTGCCTTGTAGATGTGGGGCAACGGTCTTTGAGAGAGACCGAAAGGGGTGAGGGGGAAAGAGAAGAGAAAAACAATCTGTCTAAAATGATGCTTCTCTCAAAGAATAAAGAAATCAGTGTGTTCAACAGGTAGGTTTAGGTCCACATTTCTAAAAAGCAGAAAGAATGCCTTCAGCAAAAAGAGTCTATCCCTGAGAACCTTAAGCAACATAAGCCACATTGCATATCATATAACAAAATGTAGAAGATGCACATCTTCTAAATATTAAACATCTGCTCCTGTAATTATAAAAAAATGACCAAAGACATCAACATAATCAAGGCAAAAATACTAAAAAAATAATTAAATGGAAGAAAAGAATCGTGCCAATCTGGACAACAGGCAAATAAGTTACCAATCTGATAAACTAAAATGTCATTTCCAATCTGGAATTAAATTATATTTTAGTAGCTGCTACAAGAAGGGGACGCGGAAGGGTCACTCTTCCCAGCCAGTGGAGGTCACCATCTTTCCCCCCCCCGGACAAAAAAAGGGCTTAGGTAACTCGGTGCCACTACCCACAGGAACATCTTAAAGTACTCCAACGACTGCAGGACTTGAGACTGGGATGCAATGTTTTTCATTTTCCAAACGGACAAAGAGAAACAAGTCATAGCTTCAACTCAAGAGAAGAGACAAAGGGGTGAGGTTTGCTGCACAATCTTGAGACTCGGCTACTGCACTGGTTAAACACTAAACTCTCCACACACAGACTGAAAGACACAAGCAGGAGCACACAATGGGGCCTCAGTCTCCATCGGCATCTGAGTCAGCAAACTTCAGTTCACACTTGACGTCGAACGGCTTTTCCCTGGCAGAGAGATCATCGATCCTCTGTGAGTCCTCGCGGTCTGTGGGGACTTTGCTGGTGATGGTGTCCTGCTCTGTCTCATAGCCGGTGTCCAGAGCTGGCTTGGGATGCTCTCCATTCTGCTGGGAGAAGCTCCCGGGCTCTACTAACGTCTCCTTTACACTCTGCTCTAGGTCAGAAAAATCTGACTTGGGCTTCTTCTTCCCAAGCAGCAGGGCTGAACGGAATTTCAAGCACTGTCCGGGCAGGTAGCCCTTGTAACAGTTGTAGACCAAGAGGCAGAGGAAGAGGATGAAGATGAAGAGGAAGAGGGACATGAGAAGGCGGTTGTCACTTGACTTGAGATACACTGTCTTTGCTGAGTGGAGCTGTGGGACCTTGTTGATGACCTTTGGTTCACAGGAAGTGCTGGTGGGCGGGGGCTTGGGAGGTGAGGTGACAGCAATTGGTGTGGTGGCCTGGATGACTGGCGTTGGGGCAGATGACTCCAGGGAGGATGCCGCTGACATCCTGGGGGTTATTCTTCTACCTTCTGTCTGAGAAGCGGACAAAGTAGTGGTCACTGGGGTCCGTGGGATGATTTTTACCTCCAGGACATGCTTGGTGAGCAGCTGTGACACTGTCTTGTTCCTGACCCTCTCCTCTGACAGGCACTGGTATACCCCATTGTCTCCCTCAGACAGGTTGAAGATGAGCAGGTTTTTCCTGCCCACAAGACCATACTTAGGGCTCTCAGCCTTCAAGACACCGTTCTGGAACTTCCACACCACCTGGGCCAGGTTGGACTTTTGGGAGCATTTGAGTTCTGCTGTGCCACCATGCTTGAAAAAATGCTGCCGGAAATTTTCTTTACTTTTATCTGGAACATCAAGATAAATGTGTACAGCATCAACAACCCTCAACTGCTTTCAAATATTGGTCAATACCTACAGACGACACAAGAGTCTCATCCACGGAGCAAGATGGACCTTCAGGCCAACCGAAAAGATAAAAGACATGCGTGAACAAAGCAAGATATACCCTGGCTAGCAGCCAGGGATAAGGGCTCTGAGCAGCAGAAATCCCACATCTCACCCCAAGTCCTAGGAGAAAACTCATCAGGCTGGTGACAGTGAGCAATGACCAGTTATGCATCTGGATGGCAGTTATGTATCTGACTGAGTTAGATATCAAGTGATTATGCTAGCAGTTGGGGAGGCCTGAAGTTGGTGTTGGTCTTACATTTCTTTCCTGTTTCTCCTAACATAAAGATTGATGTCTGCTCAGACAGAGGAGGGATGGGTCCTGGGCATCTTAGGCCAATTCCAGCCCTGGCTTTAGCTATATCACTATCTCCCAGTAGTCAGCCACAGAAAATCAAATCGTGATGGGAAGGGAACACTAGTCGAACTAATTATGGGCTGCATGTCTCTTGTCTGAGGCGTTTAGGACCAGGATTTTTGGAATACAAATTTGTTCAGATTTTGGAGTATTTGCCTTTGTGAAATGAGATATAGCTTGGGAGAACTAAAACCTGAGCATGGGATTCATTTGTATTTCAAGTGCATCCTAGACATAGGGCCCACAGGTAAATTTATAGAATATTTAAAATATTTAACATGAGTTTCATGGTGTGAAATTTTCTACTTGGGGGGTTCACACTGGCACTCAAAAAATTTTCAGTTTTGTGAATATTGGGTGAGGGCTGCTCAGCCTATACTCAGGACCACTGCCTCTCATTCTCAGTAGGTGATTGTTTTGTTTAAGAAGCTCCAGCTAAGCAGAACAGAAAAGTGAAAAGTTGGAGTTTTCTAGTATAACCTACGCAAGTACGAATATTTTTCCTGTAATCAAGAAAGTCACAAATCAAGCACATGACATCTGAACTCTGATCAAAGGGGAGAAAGAAAAACACACATTCACACACATACAAATGCCACAGAGCTGAAGCACTGGAAATGGTTGGACAGCCTCGCTGTTCCTGAGGGGATGCTACAATGGGGAGCACTCACCTGGGCATGAGGACACATCGCCGCTCATCTCCTGAATCCAAGCCCTGAAAGGCAAAGGCCTCCTGTAAGTCACTGCACACTCACGGGGGAAGGGTCCACAGTGCCCTGTCCATACCTGCTGGGGCCCTGGGCCTCATGAAGATCCACACAGGTATATGTGGATGTACTCCAGGCACAGTAGGGGTCACGTGCCAGCACGCAGTCCTCACAGCTGCTATGTTTCCTGCAGAAGGCCAGGGGGACCTGGACCACTCCTGAGTTCGAGCTGGCATAGACAAACTTCCTGCCCTGTGTGCAGAAGGCAGAGACAGACAGGCATTAGGCAGATATCATAGACAGCAAGAGCTCCAGGACTCTGTGAGAATGACAGAGCATTTTTGAGCACTGTATGAAGGGGTAAATGAGCACCCCTCTACAGGATGAAAACTGGAATGACAGCAGATAGAAGACAGAGCCCAGTCCAGACCTGTACAATGCCTCTGTGACTCTGTATTGAAAGTAAGTCTGATTTGGGGCACAAATACCCACATGCTATCATCACTCTTCTGCAAATACAAAACCATATCAAAACCAATATCAAGAAGTAGTCTGGCCAGCAGTGCTGCAGCCACTGCTTGAGCTCCTGGCTCCTGATGGTTCACCATGATACCTGTGCCTTGGGTCCTACCTGGGCTTACCCAGCCTTTTTGTTTCTGACAGTACCCATGCATACAGCTCTGCAGACATGTAATGGAACTATCTAGCCAGCCCATCTAGACCTCCTTTCCACCCTACTGCCACACAACCTTCATCCCACTAACAAGAGATACCTTCATGAACACTGACACATTGGCTCAGAAAACCATGTAATGTGCACATGTCATATGCATCCAGATATATAAAAAGGGACTCAGGTATCTGTGTACCATGTTCACAGCAATCAAAGGACGGAAACAGACCAAGTGGCTACCTGTGGATGAATGGACAAACATGGTCTATGTAGACAATGGAACATTTTTGGGCCTTAAAAAGGATGGGTAGGACTGGGAAGATGGCTCAGTGGTAGAGTGCTTGCCTTGGATGCATGAGGCTCTGGGTTCGATTCCTCAGCACCACAGAAGCAGAAAAAAGCTGAAAGTGGTGCTGTGGCTCAAGTGGTAGAGCGCTCGCCTTGAGCTGAAGAGCTGAGGGACAGTGCCCAGGCCCAGAGTTCAGGCCCCACAACCATTAAAAAAAGAAAAAGGATGGGTAGTCTAACATATACTATAGACTTTGTGCCAAGTGGAATAAGCCAGTCACAAGAGAGATGCATGACTTTACTTATAGGAATTGTCTAGAGTAGTAAAACTCAAAGAGACAGATGAAAGAATAGGGGGAGGGGCTGCTCAAGGGCTGGGGAACAAGATGGAGAAAATGTGGACAGAGTCCTAGTTCAGAAAAATGAAAAGTTCTGGTGATGGAAGGAGGCAATGGCTGCAGATCAAGCAATGTATTTAAGACTGCTGAGCTGTATACCTAAAAAGTGGGTGGGGGCTGGGAATATGACTTAGTGGTAGAGTGCTAGCCTTGAGCAAAAGAAGCTCGGGGACAGTGCCCAGGCCCTAGGTTCAAGCCCTAGGACTGTCACTCACACACACACACACACACACACGTGGGATAGAGACTGCACTAGTGACTGGTGTCTGTAATCCAAGCTACTCAGAGGCTGAGATCTAAGGATCACAGTTTGAAAAGGCACATAGGATTCTTACTTCCAATTAACTAGCAAAAAGGCTGGATGTGGAGCTATGGTAGAACACCAGCCCTGGGTGAAATAGCTAAGGAACAGTAAGTGCCCAGGCTCTGAGTTCAAGCCTTAGTACCAGCACAAAAAAATAAAAATAAACAAAACAATGAACAAACAAAATGGGATAGTATACTTAAAGTCTGTATTTTTTTTCCTGTGATTGGAATGGAGCCCAGGGAATTGGATATACCAGGCACATGATACACCAGGGAGCCCCACCCTCATCTACATGTGTATTTACCATAATTAAAACCAAATCCTGCCATGATAATCAGAGGAGATAGTTCATGATGAGAACCTACCTCCACCCTAGTTGTAGGACAGAAGAGCTGTGCTACTAGCCCCTTCTGAGCCTTCACAGGAGCTGCTATAATGCTGCTTCTCTACTTTCCTCTGTGAGCAGAGGAAGGAGAACATCTGACAGGCAGAAAATAGCTGTTCCCTGTAGCCATGGTGACACAACCATACATGCAAATTCACCAAGGCTAACTGACTCAAGAAGAAGACATGGGGGGCTCGGAAGGTGGCTCAGTGGTAAAGTGCTTGCCTTGCATGCATGAGGCCCTGGGTTCGATTCCTCAGCACCACACAAGCAGAGAAAGCTGTAAGTGGTGCTTCGCTGAAGTGGTAGAGCACTAGCCTTCAGCTGAGGGACAGCACCCAGGCCCAGAGTTCAGGCCCCATGACCAGCCAAAAAAAAAAAAAAATGAAGGTATGGGACACTAAGGGCCTATGCAACCTTTCTCACCTGCCCTAAGCAACCGAGTCACATGTAGTGGAGGCTCAAGGACCCCAGCAGGCAGGGGCTTCCAGGGCACAAAGGTATAAATAAACCCCTGAAAACAGAATGGGGAGGGTTCCACATGTACGCTGTTACAGTTTGGTGCTGTGTGCACCTGCCATCAGGCAGAACTCAGTTACACAGGTATGCTGGGGATGCTGGCCAGACAGAGTACTTCATACCTATGATGAAGAGCTGATGGGGTGGGTCCTGCTGGGTCACTAATTTGCCTATCTCCACAGGACCTCCTGCAGCACCTCCTTCTCAATAGAAACTCACACTAACTCTCCAGTTTCTTCCAAAGAACAGTGCGCACTAGGTCCCCAGTTCCTTCCAAAGAACACTGTACTATAGATGCCTCCTGGGTGCTTGTGCAAGTCTGGATGAAGCAAATGTGCAACCTGGGAGCTCCAGATGTTACTAGGGAAAGGTCAGAGCTGGCTCACACAGCCACTTTCAAGTCTTTGGCCCTATTGGTCTCTGGATACAAAAGGGAAAACGAACACAGATACTTAGTCTCTGGAAGCTCACAGACCAATTAGATTTCCTTTCTTCTCCTTTTCAGAACTAGTAAGTAAATGTACTTTTTTCATGTTGCAAGAGGATCAAGGAATGAAACTGAAAATCAGCCAGTCTCCTTGGGCTTTGTGGACACAGCTGGGGAAGAGGGTGGGAAGACTTTGGAGGGATGTTTGCAAACATGCAGCTGCTGAGAGGCCAGCTCTATTTTCTCTACATGGAATGATGTCTGTGTAATGTGGGCAGAGGCCCTGGGTACTCTGGGTCTTGGGCAGGCACCAACTCAGGAAGACAGTGCACTGCAGGGCCAGTGTGAATGTTCATCCCTGCCACAGGCTGCTCGAGCAGTCAACTTGAGATTCTCAGCCACAGATGTTATGTGGGCCAAAAGTCAGAGCAAGGCCTTGGAAAGGAGGAAGAAAACAGGACAGGACCAGCAATGGACATTACAAGTATGGCCCAGGTCACAGTATAGGGGCCTGCATGAGGCCCTCAGGAGACTCTGACAAGGAGAGGAGCATCCTGGATGACAGGAACATGACCTGGGCCAGCCACAGGCAGGTGGCAGCCCAGTTCACAGATCCTGAACCTCATGAGATTCATGGAACCCTCACAGCAACCATGTGTGTGTGTGTGTGTGTGTGTGTCTGTCTGTCTGTCTGTCTGTCTGTCTGTGTGTCTGTGTGTGTGTCTGTCTGTGTGTTTGTCTGTGTGTGTATGTGGTGTATGAGGGGTGATTTAAGACCATTTTAAGAAGAGGAAACAGAAGCACACCGACACCTGAGGGCCACAGCAGTCAGGATCTGAACTTGCCTGTGTTCTGCTCCTCACTGCTGTAGCCCAGCTGTGGTACCACTTCCCACACCCAACATGACAGAGGACAGCCAGTGAGTCAAATCCAATCTCTACCCCCCTTTGGATGTTTCTATCTTGCCCCCCAGCGAAGAGATTTGCATTTCTTTTTTAAGGGTGAGTAAAAATAGTGTTTTGCTTCCTATTAAACTAGCTTGGTGTCCACAGACTGGCTTACTCTAAGCTAAACTCAGGCAGTCAAGGTTCCAGCCTCCAGAATGTATTGTCAGTTTCTTCCTAGGAAACATGTGCTTCCCTTGGTTAAGAAGGAAGAGTGGTGTTGACATAGGTGAGAACTGTAGAGTTACTTGCCATTTCTCTTACAAGTTCTACACTGATGAGTCTCTGTACACGGTGACATTCACCTACAAGTCTGCAATCTTAAAGGGTCAGGACACAAGGACATGTTTTCATGGGACAGGACCTGTCTCAACTTGGCATCTGCCATCCGCACCAAGGGTTCAGTGAAGTTTTGTCTGTCTGCCTCCTTCTGATGTTTATAAAACAGCGTTCTATATAGACCCAAAGGCCAGCTCACCTGAGCAGCCATACTCAGGCAGATCAGTTTACATCACAGACCTCAGTAAACGGGCCACCAGCCCTACTACCTTGGCCACTTTACCTTCTTCAAAGACAGTAGTAGGGTTTGGACTGGCTCAGAGTTCTGGAAGAGTCGTGTTTCCTCAATGATGTGGACATCGTTGTCAAGGCTGACAGCTTTGTGGAGGGTGCCCCGATCTGCAAGATCAAATCCCCAGGTAAATGAGACAGCCCCAGAAGGACACGCCTAGGTCAGCAAATGAAGGTCACCAAGGTCACTCAGAGGCAAATGCTCCCCACTGGGCATATCCAAAATACTCTCTCAATGAAATGCTGAGACTAAGAGGACAGTGTTGCATTGACATGAAAGAGAGCCAGGTGCCAGTGGTTCACTCCTGTATTCCTAGCTACTTGAGAGATTGAGACCAGGAGGACCATGGTTTGATACCACATCAGGGAGAAAAAGGTTGGTAGACTCCCTTCTCAATCCATATCTGGATAAAATGGAGCATGTGTATCATACTAAGTGGTGTGGGAGGTGGAGAATGTCAGTCTAGTCCAACTCCAGCAAAAAAGTCTGCGAGTCTATCTCCAAAGAATGAAGATGCATGTGGTAGTGCACAGCTGTTATGCAGGCAGTATAGAAAGCCTGAAGTAGGCAGATGGTGACTGCAACGAACGACCTCAACAACAGATCCCAGTCTAGCAAGTATGAGGCCATGAGTTCAAAGGCTACTCCTATCCTTCGTCCCCCTGCTCCTCCCCCACAAAAAAAGATTAAAAAGCCATTTGCAAAGTATTCTTATTTTCTCATGAAGTATAAGGCCCTATAACATGTGAAATCAAACACTTTTCATCAATCAAGTTGACTCAGAGAGTGGAGGCTGATTCCACTTGAGGCAGCTCCTGAGCTCCACGGACTCTCCAGAGATTCATCCCAACAGGGCTACAGGCAGGTGAGGGCAGGGCATATGTCAGCTGGGAAGCGACAGGGGTGGGCTCAGAGCCCTGCCACCTGCAGAGGCTACAGGCCATGGTCCAGAAATACTGGTTCTAGAAGGCAGATGAGGAGGTGTGCCTCCAACAGGTCAGGACCTGTCTAGGTCCTTCCAGGTTGCAGTGACAGGCCCATCAGCACTTAGGAAATGCCAGGCTGATCAGAGCTCATAACCACCACTGACAGAATCATTCAGGGATTTCTTTGCAATAGCCAGTTCACACACTGATTAGGATTTGCAATCTTTTATAAGCTTTCCAATTGGCTAATGGACAGAAAGACCTGGAAGTCCAGGTATTGTAATGTCTCAGAAATCAGTTCATAGTATCACAAACCTCTTGTCACCCCTAAGGATTTTAAGTGGACTTGACACAGACTCACTGTGACTGTGAAGCCCTCAGAACCCACCTGTGCTGATAAACATGACATCATAGATGGTCCCATCCAGGGCCTGGGTCCTGTCCACCACGATCTGGGTGTAGTTCACATCTTTTTTGACTAATCTGGGCTTGTTGTCTATGGGAGTTACTGAATCATCCATCAAAGGGTGGTCTTTGACAAACTGAAGTGTTTTGTCTGGTAAATTCAAAGAGCTGGTGTAGTTGGCTGCACGTGCCTCGCTGTTGATGCACTGTGAGGGCAAAAGTTTTCCTGGTTAACATGCCTGCCTGTCATCAACCAACCACAGCATTGGGAATCATGGAAGGTGTAGCACTGGGAGAGACACTGAATGTCTCCAAAGAAGAGTGACAGGGGATACCTGGATATCTCATTCCCAGGAATCAGAGGACACAGCACATTCACAGGATAAAACTGTGCTTTTGATGCATAATCAGAGTAGGAATTATCTATCAAAGAGCACAGAAAGCATTGCTGCTGAACAGTCTGATCCTAAATAGCATAAAAAAGTAAAATGTCAAGAATGTTTTGGGTACCAACCTCCTGATGTCCATTAACCTAAATTCCTAAGCAGCAGAGGACATATTTACTGAGCCCAGAAGAATGATGACAGTGTCTGCCAGACACTCAAAAGATCCAGTCCTGGGAAAGGACTAGGTTAGGGCCCATCCAAGAGCCATATCAATGCCCACCTACTGTGTGGGAAACAATGACTGGACAATGAGATCAGCCTAGAATGATTAGTTTGTTTTACCTAAAATTGACTACTTTTTGTAGGGGAGAAAGTAGTTCGTGACATTGCAGAAGCCTTTGTGGATAAATTCTTTCTCAGTAGGAAACTAAAAATGAACTAGTCCCTAACTGTATTACACAATGTTACTTTTACAAAACACCCCGCCAGTAGCATATCTCAGTCCGGGAGTCTTGCAAGACCCATTATTCCACACACAGAAGCAAACAGTGAAGGAGAGCTGGGTTCCTCAGCAATCAGGCTCAACAGCTGCCTGGCTGGGTGGAGACTCCTCTGACCAGGGGACCCACAGAGAGCTCTGGCAACCTTGTCAAGTTTCATCTTGTTGGACTCAACCCTTGGATGTTAACAACAGCCCTTCTTTCAAGCTACCCCGCTGCTTACCGCTCCAGGTCGCGGAGTGGGCACTGGTCCATTGTATCGCACCCACTTAGTGTGGGACTGCTCCACTGTGGTACTCTGCATATACTTGCCACGAGAGAAAACTGCTTCCACCGTGGAGAGCGTGTAGGCACAGACTGCTGACAGCCCCACATTGTTCCTGCAAAGGGAGGCTATGTGAGCTTACAGAAAGCAGCAGACCAGCAGGGAGAGCACATATCACACCTGCCAAAGGCACTTACAGCTGTGGGGTGAAGAGTGCATAGAACACAGGCTCCTTGAGGTCTGGGGCCCTCAGCACAAAAACATCTTGCAGTATGTTGAATATCAGGCCTATGTCTTGCTGGGAGCAGATCAGTTTGGCCTTCAGGAAAGAGGTCCACTTCCTCTGCAAGGTCCTCAGGCCTCCTTGGTCCCCCTGGAACAATGGGTAGAGGATAGGACAGGGGAGCTTAGATGCCCTGTAAACAGGTGGTCTGCATACAGGGTGCAATGTCCACCCTCACTAGCTCACAGCATGGCCCAGACAAGCTTTGCTGAGTGAAAGGAAAACAGATAGTTCTGCGCTAGCTTAGATCAGACTTTCTGGATCAAAATAAATACAAAAGACAAAAAAAAAAAAAATCCCCTCCCTTAAAACTTATCTGATAACAACGGAAACTAGTCCACAGCACTCTGAATGCCACTGAACTCTGGCTCTGAGAAGGCTCACTCTTGGCTCCAGGGTTCTCAAAACTACAACTTGTAAATGAATAATAAGGGCCTCCAGTCCTGAAACCTATCTTGGGTGAATGTGTGAATGTCTCCCTTTGATAGGTCCATGCCTCTACCTCCATTCTACTTGCTGACATATAGCTAGAATACAGTGGGCATACTAGATTGTCCTTAAACACTGTGCAGTTGCCAGTGACTGAGAGATAACAACTCTCAGGACTTTGTGGTTGGGCAAGAATACAACTGATTGACCTTATCCATGGTTTCCTTCCCATGGTTTCAGTTATGGAGATCAGAAAGTCTCAGGCTCTTTTACTGTGTGTGCTGATACTGGGTCTTGAACTCAATGTCTGGGCCCTGGATATTAGCTTTTCTGCTCAAGGCTGGTGCTCTACCACTTGAGCCACAGCTCTACTTCCAAGATTTTGCTGGTTAATTGAAGTTTTATAAAAGCCTCAGAGTTGGCTTTGATCTGTGATCCCCAGATCTCAGACTAATTAGATAAGCTTATAGTTGTGATACACTGATCTTAGCCTTTTAATATTTGTTTTCACAATTTTGAGAGAAAATACATTCATATAAACTTAAAACAGTATGTCTGGGGCTGGAAAGGTGGCTCAGTGGTAGAGTGCTTGCCTTGCACTCATGAGGCCCTGGGTTCAATTTCTCAGCACCACATAAGCAAAAAGAAAAAAGCCAGAAGTGGCACTGTGGCTCAAGTGGTAGAGCGCTAGCCTTGAGCTGAAAAGAGCTGAGGGACAGCGCCCAGGCCCAGAGTTTAGGCCCCACGACTGGACCCAAAAAAAAACAAAAACAGTATGTCTTCATCACTGTCTATTCATAGCTAATGTTATGTTGTACTTAATTTATACTTTACATTTTACCACAGATGTGTAAAACACAGCATATATGGTTTTGGTACTGCTCATGGAGGTCTTAGACTAAATGTCACATGGGTCGGGAGGGAACCATTGCAATGTGCAGGCAGAAGAATAGGAGATAGAAGAGCTTTGTTTATTTTGAACACAATGATTTCACATCTCTACTGTGAAATCTAGGAGGACAAACGATGAATGTCATAAGAGAACCACATTTTCTTTCTGAGGTTTCAGCAGAGGAAATGTCCAGCATGTCTGTGACCATATGTCTCATGGGCACTCAGGTCCTGAGGAGCAGCAGAAGGGTCTGAGTGCACAGGGTAGCAGAAACAGGAGCCTGTGCTTACACTGGCCTCAGTCCAGCATTGAGAACAAGAAAAGGACTCTATGGGAACAACAAAAGATACGTTAGACCTGCAACTAGCACTTGGTGGGGGTATATTGTTGGATCCTGTTCACAGATACTCCTGCACTCCCCTCCTCCAGGACAAGATGTCAAGGACAGGGTCAAGTCTGTTCTGCCTGTATCCTGATGGCCACAGAACTGCAAGAGGGGTAAAAGGTGACAGTGTAAGAGCTCTTCTAGCCAGTGTTACTCTAAGGGCACCTTGAATACTCACAGGGAGCTCTAGCCCCTGCAGTGCCCACACAATCTACAGTCTTGGCCTCACATTAAACTAGCCTAGATATTTGTAGTACCTAGGCCTGAAAGATAAGAAATTGGTCCCCAATGAGTGGGGACAACTGAGGGACTAAGTGATCCCTGGCTAGAAAAAGTCTAGGCAGCTCATAAGATGCTAGGCAGACATTCAAGTACCTGGAGTATACGCTTCCTATCTTGGAAAGTAGGCTGTTAAAGAGAGATGTCCAAAGTACCACTCGACACCACAGGCATGAGATTTTTGACACTGCCATGAAAGATTCCCACAGAGATCACCACACTGAAGGGTCATTTGGCAACTTGGTATGTAATAGCTTCCATGGGGGAAGCCTGACAACTGGACCTGGTTCTATGGGTCCTAATGGTCTGTCTAACACCTGTCCATTCCCCCAAAGTGCTGGCCAGGCCACTTTAAGGTTTGTTAACTCAACCCAAGGGAACTCCCCTCCCCAGCACTGGGGTTTGGCATCAGGCAAGACTTTGTACATGGTAGGCAATCATTCTACCATTTCAACTACTTCACTACCTCACAAAAGTGACCTCACAGCCAGGTGCCCAGGAATCGTGCCTATAATCTTATTGATGCAGGATGCCAAGACCTACAGGATCAAAGTAAATAGGCTGGGGAGAAAACTCCATAAGGTCCTATCTCCAATTAACCAGTTAAAAAGTTCAGGCTAGAGGCAAGCCTACTAACTAACTAACTAAATAAATAAATAGATTAATTTAAAAGTCATGACCCAAGATCCTGCAATATGCACTTTGAGCTTTAAGCCTGACATTTTGGTGTGGATTCTGCCTCTTAACCTTCAGCGTTGGGCACACAGTTCATAGTTAATGCAGTAGACGGAGACTTCAAAAGTAAGATTCTAATTCCCATGGAGTCTGATGTGTACAAACAACAGACCCAACTTATATATCTGGGAGGTCTGAGGACAGTGCTTCAGAACCAGACGCTGACTGGTTTCATGCTGCTTTCCAATGCCCCTTTAGTCCTCATGGACACCAGGGTTTCCAAGAATGGAAGGCTGGCACCTGCCAGGCCCCTTACAGTGACATCTGTGGCAGGAAGTCCTATGTCAGGGAACGGAATATTTCCAGACCTGTTCCCAGAGAGCAGAAATCCAGGGTGGGCAGGGCAGTGCTCACCTTGCACACTCTCGCAATACGAGGGACCATTAACTTGAAAACAAACTCATATTCCACAGATACTTCCGTGAAGAAGAAGTAGATCTTGTCGTCCTCACCCTCGGCACCATCTGGGCTTTTTCGGATCACATCAGCAAAGACAAAGCTAGGCTCTGCAGAGAGATGACACAAGATTGGCCCTGCACATGTAGTTGTGTCACTCCCCGCTCCTCATGGTGTCACAGGCAACTCAGTGTAGCCTTGGGACTCGGGGCTTCCCTGCAAGGATATTTGCAGTATGTGTGCCACATCTCAAAACAATTCCAGAGTCAGAAATGATAATGCTACTGAGTCTGGCTGTGCTTAACTCACCCCCTCCTCAGTTCAGAGAAGTGGCCCCAACAACGGCCATGCAGGGTATTTTTTGATGCCCACCCCAGAAGTTTAATGGAGCTGCTTTGACAGGCAGCCAGAGCATCTGATGCTTTAACATGGAAGCAGGTGCACTAAGACTGAGACCTTCAGATGGCCCATCCTGAGGAGCTGATTGATGGTCCTAGAGGCCACAGGATTTGCCCCACACTGAGAAGCTTCAATGTAGCCCAAGGCCCACTAGCCAGCGATCCCAGACCCTAACTTCAAATATCATCCAGGTACTGTCTAGAGGTAGCAAGGCACTCTGATTCCATATGACCTCCTCTGGAGACTTGATACAACGCTTGCAATGTTAATGTCATGCCAAAATAAGACCACATCCCAGTGTGACAAATCTGAGTTCTTCATTTACCATCTGAATGTCACTTTTATGAAAGTATCTCCGGTCTGTTCTCAGGGTAGGTTAAAGTAGCCTTAAACAGTGTTATTTAGTTAAGAGCTATCTGATGGTTTGCCCTGGATGGTTGTGTCCCTGCTACCTAGGGCTGAGGGAGATCAGGAACAGCCAGAGGGGAAGTGAAATGAACCGCACACACCAGGTGAGACACACCATGTCTTACCATTCAGCCATGGGATTGTATATTCTGTCCGAAGAGGACTGTGGGAAGAGTTTCGGGAGATGATGGGCTCGCTTCCCAAAAAATTATATGCCGTCCCCGAATACAGCTCTTGATCTGAGGTATCCCAGGAGCAGGGAGGAAAAAAGAAAGATTAGCTCCTCCAGCTGTGGCACATAAACATGGATGAATGTTTAACAGGATTTCTTTGTAACTGAATTAAGCCCCTGTGTAGAAGGAGAAAGTTAGTTCCCCAACTTTTGGGATGACCTTCCACTTCCTACAGCTGTCTTTCCTTTGGAGTAATTGTAGGTACCACACTGAGCTGTATTTTAGGATTTAAAGGGAAATACGTGAACACGTCAAGAACTTTTCACACTCAGTGAAAACAACAGCAGATGGCTCCTCCATCTACCATGGGTTACATTTTCATAATAGCATCCTAAATCGGAAGTACTGGTTACAAGAAATACAGTAAGTTCCCCCCTTTCCTTGCCAGACAACACAGACCACAGGCCATAAATGTGCCCAAAACACACCAGCTTAGAGGAAGGCAGACTCACCTCACCCAAAGTCTATTTTGTAATCAGGTTCTAAATATCTGTTGAAATTCACTGAACATGAAAATGAAGACTGAACGCTATTATGGTGTACTTCATACCATGACAGGGTTAAAAAAAAAAAGTTAGTGGAACCACTGTAAGCTGGAGACTGTACAGTAATGGGTACCTACAAAGCACATGGCCCAATCACTGCAGATGTCTTGAGACCACAGTAGGCAGCATGGGGCTCCATGACTCACTTCCCTCCCAAACAGAAATATCTGAATATTGTGTAGAAAGCATTTGTGCTACCACTATAGTGGCTGGTTATCCCTTTGAACAATGAATTAAAAAATTCCTAAGGCATCTGTGCTGAGGGACGTATACCTTCTGTAAGGGCAGCTAATGTTAAAACGAGGCCTGGCAAGACAGGACTGGGAAGGAAGGAGAGCCAAATGTCTTGTACAGGGATGGAACACTTGGCCATAAGCTTCAGCAGCGAGGAGCCTCAGGAGAAAGACTCACCAACCATGACAGATGTGTAGCTGTGCGCAGGGTCAAAGGGACACCTTCCTTTGCCATCTTCATTTTTCCCCAGAAACTTAAAGGATTCTAAGTTCTGTAGTGGAATAAAGAGAAAGAGGATCTTAAGATATCTGATTTTCTGAGACAATAATGTGTCTTGGTACCATTTAATTTTATAGCTTCCTTATTCCCAGACGACCAATAGAGAAGAGCAGATGGGAGTTGGGTCACATGATTTCTACTCTTGGAGACTTGGGTTTTATTCCTAGCTGTATGTCACTCAGCTTAGAGTGCACACCAGTGCATTGGGCCCTAAATGAGTGACCCAGGATCTCAGTATCTTCATCTGGAAAATGGGAACCTGGACGGTGGTATCTCTACTAGAGCTGTTCAGGGCTATTAAGAACCAAATACGAGACATGTTCAACAAGTAACAAGGGCTCATGTTTACAATTTAACTATCATTAGACAAGGATAGAAGTGTGGGGTGGGGGTGAGGAAAGGCAATAAGCCATGGAGTCAAGCTGATTAAATATGCATGCATGAAATATGATGGTGAAAGCCCTTTGACAGGAATACAAAACAGGTTCTGCCTGAGATAGGGCCAGACAGCTCCCTGTTAGGCTATGAAATGTGAAGTGGGATGACAACATAGCCCATGTGATATAAGCCATTTATCACACCAGAAGACAACTGGCAGACACTGGGGCGATGTGTAAAGGGCCTGAAGGATTCATGATACTGGGGAGTTGGCCATCTATTTTCTTAGCTATAGAAATGGAATCAGAATTAGGTAGGAAAGTTGTCATTATTTTCAAGAGATTATTTCAAAGGCATTTAAAGATCATGAGTCATACTTCCATAAGAATTCGCACACTCACACAACATGTGCACACAACATGTGCATGTAATCCCCAGTTATGCAATCCAAGTAGTTAGTACATATGAATGAGTGATCAGCTTTTTTGTTGTTTCAAATTTTCTATTGAAAGTTTTGGGGAAAGTTAGCCAGGCATCTGTGGCTCATGCCTGTAATTCTAGCTACTCAGGAGTCTAAGCTTTGAGAATCACGGTTCAAAGCCAGCCCAGGCAGGAAAGTCTGTGAGAGTCATGTCCAATTAACTGCTAGCAAGCTGGAAATGGCACTGTGGTTCAAGTAGTAGAGCATTAGCCTTGAGCAAAAAAGCTCAGGGACAGCACCCTGGCCCTGAGTTCAAGTCCCAAGATTGGAGCATGTGTGTGCACACATGCATACACATACACGTTTTAGGGAAAGTTACACATCTAGACTGACACCTAGCATACTCTCTTCTTACCTCAACCACAACATTTCTACCATATGTAAATATAAACAACAGAGCTATACAATGCTAGACATTTTGATGTGAAAAATGCTTTCAGTACAACTTATGCTTATTTTTTTGTACATTTGTATTTTCTAATGAGTCTGTATATCTCATTTCTCTGACTCTTGTTTTGTTATTTTTGCAGCGGATATCAAACGTAGGGTCTCTTGCATAGTAAGCAGGAGCTCTATCTCTTAGCATATTGAGAAAATCAAATAAATTAAGGATTAGAGAAAACTAAGCTTTGCATTTCATCAGCCAATACCTATCCATGGTTTCAGGCATCTGTAGGTAACGCAGGGTTCTGAGTAGTGCAATGACCACTGCCATGCCCTATACAGGACATGAATAATCCCGCTGTTCTGTGTGTCCAGGCTGAATGCCCTACTCACTGGTCACTCAGAAGTCATCTTAGATATTAAATACACAAACCTCAGGTAGTTTGGTACTACTTGAGCTTTCAGGCATCCACTAGGGCCTTGGAAACATGTTCCTAGCAGATAAGGGACCACCAAATAACATGTTTCTCATCTTTCAGGAACTTATGAAATCCAGGGTTGGTTACTAGAAAATGTGCCTCATTTCCAACTCTCCAATGTACTTGCTTAAAACATGCTCCTCCTTCTGTTGATGATTGCCTAATTGAGCACTGGATTGTTTGAATAAAAAGAATTTCTCCCGAAAGGATAAAGTGAGACAGTTTGTTAGCTTGGTTGTTAACTTGAGAAAGGCCCCTCCTCCCCTTCCCTCCCACAGCAGGATAGAGAAGATAACCAATTAGACCAGCTGAGGACGTGACTCAGGGAAAGGCAGAAAGTGTCCTGCTCAGACCACTCAAGAGTGGGTGGTCCTGGGAGGGCTGTGCAGTGGGCAGGGTCATGCCAACACAGAATGGTGACACAGTATTCAAGACCCACCAACACTGGCCAAGAATACACACCATTTAGGTTGCAGGACCTTCATCGGTGTGACTTGAAGCCCACCATGGGCAGGGTGTTGGGGTCACGGTATATAGGTAACTATCAACAGTTCACTTTCTAGAATGTCTCTCCATCATTCCCAAGAACCACAACTGATCTGAGTCCTGCTTCAACCCATGCCTTGTGCAGCAACACCATGGCTCAGCGGAGCATTAAAGACTGCACACTTTTCCCACAGCCTAGTGAAGCTTTCCAGAGGGGCCTGGAGCTACCCTAACCCTCACATTGCAGAACTGAAAAAAATCCTAGTGCTTTTGGGTTAAAGCTTCACTTTCTGTCTACTCAAGATTCCACTCTTAACCACTGCTCAGGGAGCACACTGATCAGGGAACAAGTCCATGGCCTTACCAGGTGGTCACAGATGGGCTGGAATGCATTAGTCCCACATACATAGAGAGAGCTGGCACTGAGGGGCTGAAGTACCCGGATGTAGTTGAGGCATTCTGTCTGTGGGAAGAGAAACACCATCAACAGCCAGCCACTGAAATGCCCTCCACATCCACATTGTGAAGTCCTTCGGTGCTGCCCCTGCATTCCCTCCTGACACTCCCAAATAGAGGAGTCTGATACCCCTTCCACCTTGTGTACTGCTCAACTATCAGCTGAGTTATATCATCTTATCTCTAATGTGTACACAGGCTGTTTAGGTGATATTTTCAGTTCATTAGGTAATTGATATTTAATAAAGATCTGTAGACCAAACATAGGAAGGAATTGACCTCAAATTGCCCTTGAGCTCCCGAGGTAGAAAGAAATGTATTTTACTCTCACTGAACACATAAACCATTCCCTTGGCTACCAAACCAGCACAAAAGACCTCCACCTTCCAGGTGATGCTGCCCACAGAACAGGAAAGAAATGTTTCTTAGAATCCCAAAGCGGAGAAGCTAAGCAGAGAGGGAGTGTCGCCAGCTGTGTATCATAAAGGCCCCAGCAGGAAAACAAAGGCTCCACTTAGGAACCCACATGCTATTTTAGGGTGAACAGTACTTGGATTATATAGACTACAGTCTGAAATTATCTCAAATCAGAAAAGTTTCTTTTGGCTGTGACTGTTTTCAAACTGGTAGATGTAATTCACCATCACCCAAGGGACAAGGAGGGGGAAAGTGACAATGGCTATTTCCCTCTGCTTTGCAGACCCTGCTGTATGTGTAATTCCATCAGTGTCTGCTGTCCACTTTCTTATCGCTTCCTCAGGAAACACTTGGTTTAGAGACACATGCTTCAGTAAAAGTGTTTTGACACTTTCCTAACAATAGTTAGAGAAAAAAATTAAAAAAATAAAAAAATGAATTGAACAACCAAAAAAACCCTACAGGTTTCTCAAGAAATGTCTCTGCAATTAGCCAAATTCTTGCTATAACTCTACTATCATGAACAATATCAGGAACTCATGGGCTCTCACAGTCTGAGAACCTAGCAACAGGCAGGGGTACGGTGACACGGTAGGTAGGAACACTCTAGTTCTTCCTGAGTCTCACTATGCTTAGGAACCTAAGGAATGGGCTTCTGCCTAGAATCCTCCAATTCTGGCAACATCCCAAGACCTCAAGCTGCAAGGAAGATCAGGAATCCTAAATTTTACACTGCGTGTCAGTGAACATAGGGAATCCGATGATTCACATCAAGTAGAGCACATTTTTCACGTGTCTCCTGTGTCTGGCATCCATCCCCATTCTCAGGAGAAGGAATAAGCTCCCCCAGCAGGACCACTCAAACACACACCACACCCAGCTGAATTCAGAAGATACAGCACTCCGGATGAAACAACGAAGGATGCATGTGAGGTTTTGTAACTGGCAAAAGCACTTACCTGTTTTGACTTTCCCTTTTCTGCACATTTTGCTTTTTTGTCTTCTGAGACTTTCCAGTGTACCTGTGAGCGAGAAACAATTCAAAATCTAGTTCATATTATGCTCTCCCTTTAAAAACAGGTATGGGATAAAATGCGTGTTTTTTTTTTTTTTAAAGGCACATCATGAGGGTTCAGAGCACGGAGGATTCTGAACTGGAGGAAAAAATGCAAATTGTAAAAAAGGACTGAGGCCTGGGGGCCTTCCTGAACATTCTATGTTTATCATCTCAAAAACAAGAGGTCTAGGAGCCCTAATATTAACCACAAAAGAACAAGATAAAACTGAACCATTTGAAGTGGGGAAAAATTACTTTTCTCTACACACACACACACACACACAGAGTAGAGTATTATTCACCATTAAGAAGACAGGAATCCTATCAGTTACAGCACCATGGGTATAATGAGAGGACATTAAGTAAAATAAGGCACACATGGACAGACAAGCACTACATTTCCTCTCTCAGGTGTGGAAGCTAAAACTAGCCAACCTGGAAGTAGAGTAGTGATTACTAAAGAATAGACAGGGTATGGCTAGTAGAAATAGTGGGATTTGATCAGTGCATACTTAATACATGTATGGAATTATTATTATGTACAATTAATATATGTTAAATAAACCAACTTTGATATCCATTAAAACTGAAGGAGCCAAGTGAGGGCAGCTCATGCCTATAATCCTAGCTACTCAGAAGGATGAGATCTGAGGATCACAGTTAGAAGCTATCCCAGGCAGAAAAGTCTATAAGTCTATTTCCAAGCAGCCAGTAAAAACCTGGGAGTGGAGTTGTAGCTCAAGTGGTTAGAACTCTATCTCTGATTTAGCAAACTAAGGGACAGTTCCTAGACCCTAAATTCAAGCCCCTAGTATTGGTGCACGTGCACATGCATGTGCGTGTGCGCACACACACGCACGCGCACGCACACACACACACACACACAGGAGCCTTCAGAAGGTGGCAGAATCACGGTCCCTGATACCTGTGTTGGCAGCAACTGATGATAACAGTGTTAACACCACTGTCAACTCAGTGCCGCTCTGTGGAGGATCTTCAAAGCAGCATCAGAATCAAGGCCACCACAAGACAGAAAGCAACACAAGATGGAAGGAAAAACAAAGGGCCCTAGACTCCTACTTTGTCCTCCCTAAATGACCTTTACCTATTCCTGTGTAAGGCCCTGAAACTGGCGAAAGTTACAAATTAGGACATTTCTGGAGACTTACATAGGTGTGGGGCTCAATAGTGAGGAAACACACAGAGCTTCTTGGGAAAGGAAAGCCCAGGTGAGCTATCATTCAGAACTAACAGTGTTATATCACCCAAATGTTCCTAGGGCAGAAAACAACCATCCACGTGAAGTTATTGCAGTGGATCTCCAATCAGGATGTCCAAGAGCCTAATAAGGTCCCAAGTGCCTGGCAACTTCCGTCAGAATGTAAAAGGCAACTGAAGTTCCTCATCCACCTGTGGAAACGGCTTCGGTCAACTATGTGAATGGTAATCAATCCTGAATCATATTTCTGGGCTTTTCACTAAGAAATTCTGCCAAGCATAGCCCTGGCCCAAGTTACCAAGAAGATACAGCTGAGATAGATGCAGATGCACAGAGGAAGGTCTGAGTGGGCAATGAGCCTGCAGCACCCATCTGCTCAGCCACTTTCTGGAAAAACACTATTTCTAAAGTAGAAGAGATTCAGAAACTTACTGACCTGTCAATCAGAAATTAGGAATAGGACAGATCAAACAGGAGATAGAACAGAACCATTGAGATTGGGGACAGAAGATGCTTTTTACCAGCCTGGAAACAGCCTGAGTCAGACAGCAGGGAAACCAGAAGGCCTACCACTAGAACAAAGGATCTGATCATTAAAAAAGGACTCAGAGCTTAAAGAGGGGCTCCCTGGTGTACACTTGCCTAGCATGTGGAAGGCCTGGTTTCATCCCTAGAATCACAAAACTAAAAGAGGGCTGAGTTATTGGGGTGGACATAAAAATAAACATTTGCAGCAATCACTGTAGCACTAAAACTCAAACCATTGAAGCCTCACCGCTGCCCTCTGGGTAGAACCAAGTCATGAACTCCTTTTTCTGAAAACTAGTCAATGAAGGTGAGCCTCTGGCATCTGTCCCCACTTTCCCTAGAACTAGAAGACCAAAAGGCTGGTGAGGGTACTTTCTGTACCAGTTGACTCCTGGATGACAGATGAAAAGGGAAGAGAGAAGCAGAATATCACATTTTGTGACTATGAGGAGGCTGCACACACTGGCTTTGATGTCCCTGGGCCACTGAGGCTCGAGAGGAAGGAACTTGTCCTCAGGGAGTGCCTCGCTCACCTGGCCTCTGTTCAGGGCAAGCCCTAGAGGAAGATGTGAGAAGACAGAGGCTCACTTTAGATACTATAAGGATGTAAGGAGCAATGACAAGGATAGAACATGAGACAGATGGTGCAGAGTGGCTTTCTCATAGTGGCCCAAGAAACAGATTAAACGGACAGAATGTCTGGATGTAACAGTGGAGCCTGATTAGTTTTCCCTGGGTTCAATACAAATCTTTTAGCAACAATAACAACAACAACATTTCATAATCAAGTTGGTGAAATGTGAACTGGCTGAATAATGGATGCTATAAAATGTGGGGGTGCTGTTTTTCATTTATTTGAGTGAAAAGGAATCCTTTCCCTAAGAATTGCACAGATGGAGACAGGACTTGGGATTCATCTAAAGGCCACCAGAGGCAGGGAATATTTGAGCCAAGAATAAGAGCCCAGCTATGGAAGCTACAATTATCCAGAACTGGAAACACCAGAGTAAAGATTTTCTATAATAAAAAGCTTAAAAGGAAAAGATGGGGGAGGCTGAGTGACTTGCTTGTGGATATCCTGAGATAAGTCTACATGGCCAGGAAGGGAATTCTGACCTTCTCACTCCAGCCTTTCTTTACAGTGCCTGACTCACCTCACGTTGCTTCTGAGAGATGTTGCTTGCGTTCACTGCAAAGATGGCCTCTCGAGCACCCACGTACAGTGTGTCCTCGTCCTCACTCAGCAGCAAGGCTGAGTAGTTGAAGATATCTGGCTCATGGAATTGCACCAGTCCTACCTCTGTAAGAGACAAGGGAAACTGTCAGAGGCAGGAAGGAAGGACAGAGCCAAAGGGTCATTTTTGGGCTCTGGACAGATCCTGAGCACCTGTTCATTTGGCTATAGTGAGCATGACGAAGTACACACTGTGAGAGCCAATGAGGAAGATGCAGAACCTCCAAGACAGACCTGCAAGGTCACCATCAAGGGTATGTTAGGGGCCGTGCTTTGTAGCTCACGTGTGGGACCCAAGGAAGCATGCTTAACCACCCTTCTTTCTAAGTCTGGCTCAATTCCAAGTCCCCTACTCAGTGGCTTCCCAGGGGATCCTAAACCAGATAACTTCACTCACCCATGTGTCTTTAGTCAAGCACAGATTAGGTCTGGAAAAAAACACAGTAGATTGTGTGTGTGTGTGTGTGTGTGTGTGTGTGTGTGTGTATGTATACACACACACACACACACACACATATAAAATGTTTTGAAGGAGTCTCAACTCCCACATGAGTGTCAAGCTTTGTTGCCTGTGATATGTAACTGTCATGGCTCATGCTGGCCTCCAGCGCTTCTCTTCTTCCTACTCTTCTTTTAGAGAGCTAAGATCACAGGTGTGCAGCACCACACCCAGTTAAGTGTTTATTTTTTTTTAAGAAGTTGTTTCATCTTTATGGCTGTTCTGATATCAATCTGAGAGTTTTCAACTTGGATTTCCACATATTTATTACCAAGTGCCCATGGGGTTGAAGAGTCAGGAATTCTGGGATTGTCTTTAGTTCCTTATAGTATGGTTCCTTCCTCTCACAAGCTGTTTACTTTGCCTGCAATGTCACTATGACCCGTGTTGCACTAATCCTGAAAGCCCTATCCACTGTTCTCCAAAGCTGTGACTACGTTCCACATAGCTGATGTTTTGCTGTAGCTCAATCGACTGTCCTATAATTGTTCTCATTCAGCTATGAGGGCATATACAACATATAGCTGAAATTTCTTGAGGGCATATACAACATATAGCTGAAATCTCTCAGTGCCATCACATAGTAGAACATAGTAGGTGGGCAAGACGTATGAAAATGCAAAACAAGACATAACAATACACGTCAGGTGCAAAGGCCTGCTGCTTTAATGTTCCAATGCAGAAAGAGGAGAATGACAGATAGGACATAGGTCCAGGTTCTGTGGGGCATGATGGCCTGGACATGTCTGAGACTCTGAGTCCTGTGAGGAAGCTTCTCCATTGCTCAATGCCCAGTATTTACACTCAGAGACCTGCAGGCCCAGACACAGAGCAGAAGAGGAAATAACCACAGCTGATACCAGTGAGCAGGAAAGATGCGTTCTCAAGCTGTCCCTACCTCACTCTTCTCTCAAGTGCAAGAGGCAGACACATGCCTGTGTTGGACAACCCCTCAGCCACTTACTAGGTAAGAAGCTACCCTTCAAGGATCCCTTAATTCAGACTCCATGAGAGGTCTGAGCAAGCTAATGGACTATTTCTAGTCACAAAAGCACCCCCTCTATGCAGCATAATGGACCACAAAGCCAGGACAGACAACCTGGCAGATCAAATGCCAGGTGCTCAGTGGGTCTATCTCAGAACTTCAGAGTACCTGATCCCCTCCCTGCACTGTCAGCATCTGGACAGCTTGGCTCTCACCTCTGTGTTCCCAGGTGATCCGGGGTATTGGTGCAAACGCCACTGCTGTCCCAAATGCCACCACTAGGGCTGTGAGCAGCCCTTCGACTGGGCCACACATCCTCGTAGGGTGGGGCCCCGAGCTACAGGCGTTAGCAGAGCAGGCTCATGGGCAGCAGGAGGTAGCAGTGGGAATGCTGTTCACCAAGCCAGCAGCTCTGCTCCAAGACGATGAGCGTTCGGGTCCCCAAGAACACACATCTTCCTGCTGGCCAGGTAAGAAGTGGCCACGTTCACCTTCTGGATGTTGAAGGCCACTGATGTGTCCTTCAGGCCTGTAGAGGAAACACAGGGAGGAACAAACAAGGTCACCTTAGGTCTCAGGCTGCTCCTGCTTCTCAATGTCCCCTAAGCTCCTTCCCTTTACCTCCAATACTTCTCTTGCTAGCAATTTAACTGCTGAAGATCAAAAGGTGCTGGTTGTGGGAGTGCTGGGTACAGAGGACAACACTAGAGCCCCAGGACTCACCACCCTCTACACACACCACACACATACACATCAGACTCCAAGATGGACCTGACCTGAGCCAGATGGGAATGGCCAGCCACTGCCTAGCTACCTTCCTTCAAGGCCTTCCTTCCTGCCTGGGACTTCCTCTCTCCATCTTTTCCTCCTAGTCCAGGCTGCTGAGGGAAAGAAGCAGCAACTGACTGTCCAGTCTATTCCAACAGGTGGTAAGCCCCTTTGGTCAGAAATTCCTTGCTTCTTTCTGGGACTGGAATGCTACAAGCTAGAGGCTGGCCAATCTTTGCCATGAAGGGCCACATGGTCATTATTCTCAGCTTTCTACCTCTGTCCCAACAACTGTTTACTAGTCTGGACCTGGGACTCATCAACAACATAGGTCCAAGACGAAGGGATGATGCCAATCCTGATACCAGACATGGCAGGAAAGCCAAGGACTAAACGTGGAGAAAGCTGGATGGCTGAGCAAGTTTACATATTCATTCACTGGGTACGAGCCTGTTCTCCAGCCATCTTAAAAAAATGAGGTGGATGGGCTGGGAAGGTGGCTCAGTGGTAGAGCGCTTGCCTTGCATGCCTGAGGCCCTGGGTTCAATTCCTCAGCACCACATAAGCAAAAAGAAAAAAGCCAGAAGTGGCACTGTGGCTCAATGGTAGAGCGCTAGCCTTGAGCTGAAGAGCTGAGGGACAGCGCCCAGGCCCAGAGTTCAGGCCCCATGACCAGACCCCCCCAAAAAAAATGAGGTGGAGGGGGGGAGGTACCTTGCAACCTTGCATACAGCCACAGAATTGTCTTGATCCCAGTAACTGCTGCCTCTAAGACCAAGTGTTCATGCTGCTGCCAAAGAGCTGGTGGCCAGAATACTGACACTGCTCTCAGACCATTCACTGAGTTGAGGGCCTTGGCCACATACACAACAGAAATGTGGGCCCTGCTCACAAGCCCCCCCCCGTGCCTTCAGGGGACAATGGCCAGAGAAGGAGTCACATCTCCATGTAGGCCTAAGGTGCCACAATCTAACAACAGTGCTATGATGCGCTTATGAAACAACATCTCACTCAGTACAGCCTCTTCCCCATGAATATCTTCCATGCATTTCCCAGAGAAGGGGAACAGCATGAGCAACAAATACAGTCAGCCTGACGGTGAGTGTGCTCTAGCTGCTGCCTCCTTTCCAACTCTTTTACAATTAGTAATACCACAATGTTCCTTAAACCCACCAGCCTGCAAAACCCCCACACTGTAGTTGTGGCCCAGATGCAGGCCCCATATTAGGGTAGCAAGGCACAAGAACAGCACTTTCCCCACTGGAGCCACCAACGTATGCCAGTCTGTGCAGCTATGGACGAGGTCTGCCTTGCATTAGGAAGAAAACACCAGGATATGTGGGAACAAGGTGAACTCTTCAAGTGAAGTGAAGGGGCAAGACCGGTGACTCCTCAATCCTGGAACCAGCACCACTGATTTTTGGCCTCAGACATGAAAGGGGGATCCTGGAGGGAGAGGGAAGGGAGAGGGGGCTCTGGTGCCTCACCAGCTGCAGCCTATGGCACTTCATGACAACATACTAACCAGGCACCTCCAGCTCACATCAGAGTCCCCTACAGCTCACTCCTAACAGCTCACTCCATCTTCTACAATGAAAATACCAGGAAATAAAAGAAAATGGCTAGAATAGCTGAAATCATCTCAGAGCAGCAGGAATGGGGGTTTGAAAGCCCCAAGACTGGCAAGGATTTCTTTCTCCCATAAGCCATATCAAGTGCATTAATTGTTTTGGTAAAAACGAATTTAAAATAAATTATAGTGCCCTGGTTCCTGTCACCTGGAGCAGAGCAGCTCAGCAGATCTCTGCAATCTCTGCCGCATGATCCCAGGGACAGGGAAGATTGAGCAGGGTCTGCAGGGAGCCTGGAGCCTAATAGCTGCTAGAGGGGAGAGGTCAAACACCTTCCTGGAAGTAGGAAGATTTACCAAGCACCAAGTACATGACTGAAATGCCAGGTCTGGAGCTACCACTGCCTCTCTCCCAACCCTTCCTCAACACAGAGGCACGTAGACCCTCCTCAAGCCTTTGCACATGCTGTTCCCTCTTCCAGAACATTCCCAGGTGCTCCAGTGGCTCTCTCCTCCTTGCAATGACCCTTTACTTCAAGGTCATCTCCTCAGTGCTTCCCCTGACCCCCTCCCCACCCCCATAGTCTTTCTCCCTTCCTGCTGTTGTCTGTACAGTATGTGGTATAAGGGTTTAACAGTGTCTCCAGATTTAGTCCTTCAAAGGCAGAGCAAAACCGGGGGAAGCCCAACATCACAGCTAAAACACCAAGGTGGAGACTAGGCAGGATTTAAGACCCTAACAGCAGAAAGCATCACAAAACAAAACTTCAAGTGGACACGCTGAAAATTGTTCTTCCTTAAAGTAACCCCAAAATTTCCTTTAGGAGCAGTGCGTGTTGGGCCAAATGTGGCCTCTCCCAGCTCCCCCACAAGCCCTGCCTGACATACCCCTGCCTAGGTCTGAAGCCCATTTATGCCATCAGTGGACACAGATTGTGACAGCCTAGCTCAGACCCCACCACTCTTCTCCAGTGGCTTATAAAACAAGCCACACGAAGGGTCGAATGTCCCAAGAGGTGGAGCTGCATGAAGGTGGGGGGAAGGGGAAAGGGACTGCTGCGCTGTTTGCTTCATGACACTAGGAAGCCCTGATGCTTTGTTTCCACGAGCACACGCTGTTTGGTACAATTTAAAAGTGCTATGAGTGAAGCACACACCACATCCATACAAGCCTCTAGCTGCCCATGATGCTTTCCAGCAATGATGGCCTCCCCAGTCACTGAGGGGACCTTTTAAGGTCTAAATTAAACCAACAACACGGAACAAAGGAAGGAGTGCTCACTGCTCTCCCAAGCAAGTCTGAGAAGGGATGGTCTCCTGCGGGCAGCTGAGGCTGATGAATGCATGCTCTGCAGTGACAGTGGGAAGCTGCCACCTCGCCCTCAGATAGAAGGATCTGGCAGAGGAGCCCATTAGAGACAGGGTTATGAATGTCACTGCCATTACACACACATAATTGTGCTGCTCACAGGGAGGGACTTGTGCTCTTCAAATGGCAGGAGACTGGAATGGGAGGGACTCCCTGTCACACAGCAGCTCTCCATCTCAAGCACCTGGACATCAGGAGAGAAAACAGGAGTACCAGCAACTGCAGGAGCAGGGGCTGGAGAAAAAAAAAAAAAACGTGGGCATGCATATTTGTGTACACACAAGTACAAACGTATACATGTAGGCATGCATGCACTGTCAATGCCTGAGCTCACACAGACACATCCGTGCATGTGTGCAAACATCTGTATGCACATGTGTCTATAAGAATATACATGTGTGTCTGCGTACGCCTGTATACACAAGCTCAGTAATTGCGTGTGCATGCATGCACCTGTGTGTGCCCGCACATGCCTATGTGCATCTCTGTAGGCCTGTGTATACAGAGACTCTGTCATGAATGCATGTGTAGGTGTCACTTTACTGTAGTGCATGAACTGCAACCTAGTGTCACATCTTACCTGTGGGTCCTCCCTGGAATGCTGAAGTGCCTGCTGGGATCAGGACAGCACACTGACCCGAAAGCGTCTTCCTCACTGGCACCCAGGGAACCTGATATGTGCCTCAGATGAACTGTGGGCAGATACCTGACAAAGCTGATCATCCCCTGGATCCCACCCAGTCTTCCTGCAGATACCAGTATGTGGGAGTTTACCAAACCTGCTTCTTTCTTTCTTTTTTTTTTTCCAATTTTATTTTCTTATAAAGATGCTGTACAAAGAGGTTACAGTTACATCAGTAAGGTAATGAGTGCATTTCTTGTCAGACATTGTTCTGCTTATTTCTTATCTGCACAGATTTGCCCAGGTGGAGTGGTTCAACATTCACACTGCTTCTAGCCCTGGGGCTGGGAGAGTAGGTGTTCCTATGGCTTCCCTCTGAGTTAGGACCACTAGCCAGGTAGTCGGGAGAAAGGATCACCATGGTCCTCCCTAGCCGTACCTTGCCAGTGATGGGGCCTGGACTCCTTAGCACATGTTACCACCTTGCATGCTAAGGGTAAAAAGGGCTTTGTCACCCTAGGAATTGGGAGCAGGTTTAGGAATGCCTGAGTCATGCGCCGAGCAAACACTATTCCCATCTCAATTTTCCCAGGACTCAGAATGGATCCCTGGCACTGTGCATAGAAGAGACTCAGAGTACTGCCTCTGCACTGAAAGAACACACCCAGCAAGGGTGATTGCCTGCCCAGAGTTCCCAAGGATGCAGGCTTGGTCTTATACTACCTCTCAAAGGCAAGCAAGACTCAGCAGGATGACTCAGACATGTTCTCACCTCATTCATGCACCAAACTGACTGGTGCCACAGTGCTGTGATAGGTGGGAAGCCAGGGTACGAGACAGCGCTGGGGAGCTGAGGGGGGAGAGGCAACACCAACTGTGGTGTACATGCCTGTTCTGCAGCTATGACAACCTGGAAGTGTTTTGGCTGGTTCATGACAATGCGGTAACATGTGTGCATGGAACACAGATGCATGCTGTGACCCCAACAGACTAGAACTTAAGAGAAATAAAATAACCCTCTTCCCCTGGTCTAAGGTTCCTTCTATACTTTTAGCATTCCCACAGGGACTTCAGGCCTAGGCTGGCTCTCCAGCAGTGTGAGTTTGACTGGGAGATGGTCAGCCAGCTCCACAGAGGTGATTGTCAGGCTCATGACCCTTCAGGGCTCGCCAGCATCATGTTCTGGTTATAAAATCACTCAGATAGGGGCTGGGAAGGTGGCTCAGTGGTAGAATGTTTGCCTTGCATGCATGAGGCCCTCAGCACCACATAAATAGAAAAAGCCGGAAGTGGCACCATGGCTCAAGTGGTAGAGCACTAGCCTTGAGCTGAAAAGCTCAGAGACAGTGCCCAGGCCCAGAGTTCAGAGCCCACGACCGGCAAAAAACAAAACAAAACAAAACACACACACACACACATACACACATACACACTCAGATACATATGCTCATTCAGAAAAATGAGTAAGCTGGGCGCTGGTGGCTTATGCCTGTAATCCTAGCTACTCAGAAGGCTGCGAGCTGAGGATCGTGGTTCAAAGCCAGGCCAGGCAGGAAAAATCTGTGAGACTCTTATCTCCAATAAACCACCAGAAAACCAGAAGTGGCACTGTGGCTCAGGCCCAGAGTTCAAGTCCCACGACCAACAAAAAGAAAAAGAAAAATGAATACGAGCATGAGTTCAAGCCCCAGTCCAAGTACCAAAAACAAAATCCTGAGCCAGGTACCCATGACCCACACCTGTAATCCTAGCTACTCAGAAGGCTAAAACCTGAGGATCATGGTTTAAAGCCAGCCCAGGCAGGAGAATCTGTGACAGTCTTATCTCCAATTAATCACCAAAAGTGGTGCTATAGCTCAAGTGGTAGAGTGCTAGCTCTGGGCACAAAAGCACAGGGACAGTGCCAAGGCCCTGAGTTCAAGCTCCACAACTGACCAATAAAAACCCTAATGTATCAATGATGCTATATCTTAGTCTAAAAATTGATATGTAACACATCTACATGGAGCTAGAAGCACTCAGTGCCATTTCCTACATGCCAGCACATTTCTTGGTATGGATGACTTTCTTGCCATTTTTGTGACTTGCAGTATATAAGAATGAGAAGCGCTACTTTTCTCTGAAGGAACTTCAGGGTTTCCATGACATCAGTGCAGAAAATGTGGGAAGGGCTGTTTTTCTTAGTCTCACGCAAGGAATTACCTTGCTATGTATACGGGTATGCGGTTCAGAACACTGTTAAATATCCTTAAACATTTCTTTGAAGAGACCCACAAAGGTCAAAGAAAAATGGCCTGAAGGAGGTGGGAGGAGGAGAGGGGAATAGAACAAAGGTACTTGAAACTCCAACTTCAACACTCAGAATGGCTCAGAAATAAAGCAGCCTCATAAACCAGTAGAAAAATAGACCTTGTACCCTCAGTGTAACCGGCACTTTGTAAAATTACACATAAATGTACACATCCAGTCAATATACAATAAAAAGGCAAACGTAGTGCTGTGCATAGGTGGCTTACACCTGCAATCCTAGCTACTCAGAAAGTTGAGAGCTGAAGATCACAGTCCAAACTCAGTCCAGTCGGAAAGCCTGTGAGAGTTTTATTTCCAATTACATAGCAAAAAGCTAGACGTGGAGCTGTGACGCAAGACGAAGAATGCCAGCCTTGAGCTGAAAAAGCTAAGGGACAGTATCCAAACCCTGAGTCAAGCCCTGGTACCAGCACAAAAAAACAATCCAACCATCAAGGAACAGTGAGTGGTTCATGCCTGTAGTCCCTGCTACTCCAGAGGTGGGGACTGGGAAGATACCAGTTCAAGGTCTGCTTGGGCAAAAAAAAAAAGTCAGCAAGACCTCTAAATCAACAGATAACTCAGAGGTAGTGGTATTTACCTATCACCCCAGCTACATGGTAGGTTTAGGGAGAAGGATGACAGTCTGACTGAGCTAAACAAAATGCAAAAACATACCAGAGAACTGAGGGTGGCTCAAGAGGTAGAACATCTGCCTAGCAAGCACAAGACCCTTAATTCAAATCCTCGTAACACCAAAATAATAAATAAAACAGCCCTATTCAACAAGAAGTTTTGTTGTTGTTGTTGTTGCTGTATTGGTTTTCTTCCTGTCTCATTTGTTCATTTGTCTGTCTTTAGGAGGATAGGGGGAGCACAGAAAGAGAGGGATAGAGGGTGAACAAACGTAGCAGTGGAAATCACTAGACATAGTGCTGAAAATGAACTATAGCAACTTGTGGGCGGGGACAAGAGGGAAAAACTGAGACAGAGAGAAGGGGAGGGGAGAATGTGACACGGTCTAAAAAGAAATATACTCTTTAACTTGTGTAACTGTAACTCCTCTGTACATCACCTTTTATCTCTCTCTCTCTCTCTCTCTCTCTCTCTCTCACACACACACACACACACACACACACACAAAACAGCCCTACCCAACTGGTAAAGTCTCTGTAAAGGGTCACACACAAACACATAGGGAGCATGGCAGGCTTTTTAAAAAGCAGACAGAAATAATGTAATACTCATGCCCTACTGCATAAGAATCTCAGCAGGAATGAAAGATGGGGTTTTCCTTCTGCTTTCTTAAGTTATACTGGTTATTTCTCTTTGCTCTAACACTAGGCTTGGTTTGGAAATAATCAAAAAAAATTTTTTAAATCACAAAAAAGGACCATACCCCAGACAGGGGGACACCATATCCCCCCAAGGAAAGGATGAGCCTCTGTGCCACTGCCCAGTACACAGCAGGAAGGAAGCCACCGGGGAGAACCAGGAAGGAGAGCCAGGAGAAGCCATGTGGGAAAAAGGAAGAGTAAAGAACACGTAGCAGCTCTGGTGCTCAGGGCCACACCGAGCGATGGCAACTACGTTTCAACCTTGGTACTAAAGAATATCCAGGGACCAAGTTTGCTCCTGCTTGCCATTTCTGATGGAGGCTTCTAGAAGCTGTCAGCTCCACCAACCTGGAAATAAAGATCACGAAACAACGTGGTTTACCTGTACCGTGTGCCTCTGGGGTTTTTCCGGGCGCTTCTAGAAACGTTAGCTCTGAAAGTAATGAGAAACAAGGATATAGTTAAGCTCTTAATTCTTCATTCTCAGAAACTCAGCGTCAGTACTAGAAAGAAAATAAATAAATAAATAAGATTCCTGCCACATTTTTAACCTGTGGAGTCTAGGCAGATGACCTTGTCAGGGCCAGTGTAGCTGGTGCCATGGCTGAAAGGGAAGTGAGGCCAGTTAGCCCCACCCAGCAAAGAGGAAGTGTAGAACAGAGAGCCCTCAACCACAGCCACTTCCTCTTTTTTTTTTTTTTTAGACAAGATCTTGCCATATAGATCAGACTGGCTTAAAACTCACCCGTCTCTCGCCTTAGCCTACCAAGTGCTGGGATTTGTACCACAATGCCTGGCCATCACAGGTACATGTTTCCTGCAACACAAGCCATTCTGATACATCTGAGTTCATGTATCAGTAAAGTTATCGCCTAATTGTCTACTAATTTTATAAATGTTTCCTCATCTTGGTAAGAGGACCAAGGGAAAAACAGAGAACACATTTAAAGACTCAAATTAATGTTCATCTTTTTGATTTTCGTTGTTTGGGTAAGATTGGGGGGGGGGAGAGCTACTGGAAATGGATCAGAGGCCTCCTGAACCATACCACCAGCCCTTCCTTTGTTTCCATGGTAGTTATTAAGTCAAACAGAAAAAGGTCCACTGCAGAATGGGGTAAAGCTCTTGGAACGTAACTGTCCCTCTGTACAGAAAGGATTGACCCTTCCCAAGCCAGAGTCTCTGAGACCAGTGATCTCACAGATAATCCAATCCAGAGCATGGCTCTAACTTGCTTTGCACGATTGGAGGCCATTGGCAGGTATGGGTGGGCTCCGAGGTGACAACAATGTTCTTGGATCAGAAACCATCTCCTATTTGCTCCACTTCAGGTTCAGCCCCCAGCATGTCTGTGGGGGCAGCACTTCTGTTATCTGCCTCTTAGTTACCAAGTAATGGTGACCACTCCCAATTTTCTCAAAGCCAGTCAAGTAGCCAGATCTCCAGGTGGTGAAGGCAACACCTGATTCTCCCACCCAAGCTCTCAATCTAGCCTCTCAAGCATGTGAATGCCAAACAGACATCCATCATGGGCCCATCCAGATGGGCCACTAGTGCACTATGTGGAAATGATCACAACTTCATCAACCCAAGGGCCTTCCCTTGAGCACCCAGAGGGTCCTGGGAATGCCACACATCAGGCCTTGGCATTGGTGCTCCTTATGGATTCACTAGGAAGGCACTGCAGCCCCACCCAGGCAGCAGTACAGCAAACCCACACTGCAAGGGTGCAGGTGCTGCAGAGTGACCTACAAATGCTGACTCCCCCGAGACAGGGCAGCTGCCTGCACAGGGCCCAAAACACTTCAGTGAGAACAATGGAGGGAATCATCCATTCAAAGAGGGTCAGGTAAAGAAGGTCAAGAATTCTAAAACTGAAAACCTCTTTTCATGAAATTAAATATACTTCTGTCACGTTGACAATTAAAAGTCCAGAAATGCTCATTCTGTAGATGGACAAGAAGTCTCCAAACACTTCCGATTCTCAATTACCTTCAACAGCCAGGCTCAATGATGTCTGTATGTGCTTGATTCCGAACTTCTGGGAGCCCAGTGTTCAAGTCCATATGACACACATTTCCGGTCTCAGATCTACCCAGGCCCCAGGGTGCTGGCCTGTTTCAACCTTCACTCAGGCTATTTTCTTCTGCTTCCTCAACACAAAACCCCACAAGTTATAATTAGTTTTCACCCTACCAAAGAATGCAAAGTTTCCTTGTATAATTACCTTTCATACAGTTCCAACCTTGTACCTTCCAACAAAGGCAAAAAGACCCCCAGAATGGAGGAAGGGCACTCAGGGGAAGAGTAGTACTTCCCTCCCTTAGAGAAGCCTGGCTAAACCCCTCAGGAGAAGTACCAGCCCAGGTGTGGAAGTAGGCCTTCCTTGAGCCTCCCTGGGGTCAGCGTGCCCTGGCAGATGCAGATGCAGCAGATGCAGCCCGGTGCTCCTCAGCACCTGCAGCAAACACAGGTGGGGTAGACTAGCACCCTGAGATCAAAACCATCTGGGCTCCACGCTTGGCGTTTCCAAGCTGGGCATTCTCAGGAAAGTTACTACGGGGACTGTCTGGGCTTCTTTCTCAGAAAATAGACAGACCAATACAACTTGCCTCTCTAGACTGTTGTGAGGATCTAAGATTAACTTATGTGACTAGCTTACACCACACTGGGCACCTAAGAAAACACCAACAAGTGTTTGCTGTGAGTCTTGCTAGCTAGCACATCTCTCTAAGATGACGCTATGAAATACAAGAAAAGGATGGGTTACTGTCCAATACCTGACCCTGCCCTCAGTAGTTGGCTGCCACCAGCTGCCCACGTACACAAGATGCCAGGCACTAGGCACGGAGGGTCCCAAACTCCAGCACAGGCTCCAACTTGGGAGGTCAATGCATTTGAACATGATGAAGCTTCTCACCAACTGGTAGACAACACTATCTGAAGTCCAGCAGAATCTGTACATATATTTATTTATATGTGTAAATGTCTTTCTACACAAATTATAGCACAGCCAGCCATTGGGTAGAATACTATGCAACTGTTAACAACAACAACAACAAAAGAGTAAAACAGACAGACTTGGTGGTGCACACCTGTAATCTCGGCTACTTGGGAGGCAGTTTGAAGCTAGTAGGGGCAAAGATAGCAGAGAGACCCTGTCTCGAAGATAAAAACAAAAGGGTTAGGGGTGTTGCTTAAGTGGTAGAAAGCTTGCTTATTAGCCTGTGTGAAGCCCTTAGTTCAATACCCACTATCATTTAAAAAGACAAAGTAAAAAACAAAAATAACAACAACAACAACAAAGATAAATTGATATGAAAGGGTACTCAGACCTATTGCTCAAAACAGATTCCCAACAGAGGGTACAATGTAATTCCCCCTCTTGAAGGTATATGGGATGTGACCCATGTGTGTATAATTTAATCAAATTCACTTAGGACAAAACTTAATTAAGAGCCAAGTCTGGTGGCTCACATCTGGAATCCTAGCTGCTCAGTATGCTGAGGCCTGCAAGACTGGGGTTGCAAACCAGCCCAGGCAGGAATGTCCAAGAGGCTCCCTCTCTAATCAATCAGCAAAATGTACACTGGAGATACGGCTCAGGAAGAGGGTCAGCTGTGAGCAAGAAAGCTGAGACACAAAACCCTAAATTCAAGCCCCAGTACTGGCACAAAACAACAACAACAACAAACACTTAATGGAGGACAAGCTGGCTGGCAGAAGTGACTAGAGACTGGGTCTGACCTGCAATAGGAAACACTTGTCATTCACAATTAGAATGGCGGGGGGAGGGGAGACACATGGTCTGCCCAAACAACCTCTTAACTCAGCCTCCTAAGTAACAGGATTTCAGGTGACTATCATCACGTTCTGCTACAATTTGGATTCTTTACTACTACCTGAACTCTTAAGTATACAGTTTTCAAATTAGAATATTTTATTTTATGACAGTAGTTTACTATGTATCCCAAGCTGACCAGGAATTCATGATCTTCCTACTGAGCCTGCCAAGAGCTGGGAATTAAAGGCATATCCCACCACACCTGGTCTGATTAGAATGTGTTTAATCTGATATCCAAAGTAAGATATTGTCATTGTGGAAACTTAAAACTCAAAAAAAGTCAAGGTAGAGGGAGTAAACTTTCTGACAATCTTAAGAACACATCATAATGACCACTGAGGTCCCATTCCTTGCATCTCTCAAAGTAGTAAAACCACTGAAATGGAAGTCCCACAAACAGGAGAGAGACTGGATGAGAATACCTCATTCTAACCAACTCTGCCTCCTTTATGCAGTGCTCACCTCAGGGGGGCCAATTTGAGAGAGGAATGAATGTCACTTTCTAAGAGCACACTGAAATCCCCAGCCATGTGTCACTCTTTCTAAATGGCAGCTGCCATCACATGACTGACTATTGGGCTCAAATCCTCCTACTTTTCTCCAAGGCTTGCAGAAGACGGGCCCAGCCTCCCCTGGAGTGTCTCTGAAAGGTAACCTACAACTTGTCAAGCACATGCTTCTCCACTTTCCCTATTCAATAAACTCTGAGAATACATGGAAGCAGACTGAGCAGTTCCTGACTCACTCAGGGTCTGCATGAGCAGCCTGTGGGTAGCCATATCTGACAGCCAGATTGTACCTTCAGACTACCACCTGTGCCCCAGACAACTGCCTTTCCCCCACTGTACCTGCCCTCACCTCACCCAGGCCACCAGTGGCTCAGCATCCAAGCTAGGGCCACTACAGACCTGCCTGCTGAGTTCCTACTCAGCGAATCCTCACATACTGGATATTGGGGAAAACCTGACCAGGAAGGATATTAACTGTGGGAAAGTGAGCAAGTTACCAGTGACCTTGGAGGAAAACGAGGCAGGCCTCCTGACAGCCTCAAGCTGTCAGTCACCTGGGCACCATTTGCCAAGGACAGACCAAGCATTTACCCATCCTTGGGTAGGCATGTGAATGACCCCAGCATTCCACACTGGAACAAACTGCTCCCACAATTCAGTAACAGAAGGCCAGAGACCTGCTGCACCAGTGGTGTGGCCTAGAGTTGTGACATCTCCACTGTGCAGCCTACTAGCTGCTTCCAGAGCAGCAGCAGCACTTCTATTCCCATTGCTCTGCCCAGCCCTTCACCTCAATGATTCTGTGCTGGGCTCAGATGAGCCACATTTGATGGCATTCCCGTGCAGAGGAAAACCTAGTTCCTAAAACCCCACCAGTAGCCCAGAGCCCTGGTGGCCCTACAGTGACTGTGGGCTACTTCAGCACCCCCAGGCTCTGAGAGATCCATCACACAGACCATGGGGCACGACACAGCATAGGAAAGGAATGGCCAATACAGAATCCGGCCACTGCAAACTTTGGAGCATTTTCTCTCCTGATGTGTTCTGAGGTGATGCCTCATGTCTCTGAGTCAGTGGTTCTAATCCTCTCTTCCAGTGACACCTGGTACACCCACCCAATGCAGCTCCTGGATCCCTGTATGGGCCCCCAGGAGGGGGTGGGTAGGAGAGATCATGCTACTATCGTAGGTCACCAAACCCTCATCCAGGCTGGGATTCTCCTGCCTTGCCACAATGACTGAGCCTAGCTGCACACAAC